ATAGTACTATGCGAAGCACGTCGATAAGGCATTGATTCTATATAAGACCAACTTTTATTTTCTATATCGTAAATGGCAAAATGTTGAGTGTCATACATTTCTCCTCCTTCATTCATCAAACATCGTCCGCCAAACATTGCCAAACGTTCATTACTGATAGCATTGAGTGAATGCATCTTTCTGGGAGCGGGGGTTGCTGAAGATTCTATCTTAATCATTTTAGAAGTTTTAAGGTCTAATTCGTAGAGCACATTAGATAATTCTTCGGTTTCTATATTTTCTCCACCAAATATATATATTTTTGTGGTTGTTGTGTTTGTAACTATCGCTGCGGCACTATACCGAACTGGTTCATATTGATCAGGTGATTCAAGGTCTATCTCTTTGTTATTCCACCTGATCGGATGATCGGCCAAATTAAGAGACCAACAAATTGGTCTATCACTGTAAAAGATCACTAGATAGAATGTATTATCAGACCATACACCATCTCGGTAATTAGAAGCGATAATGTTACTGTTATCGATTCCAGAAACATTTACTGCCTCCCATTCAGGTGACACAAATCCGAAACGAAATTTATTTGTCATGCGATATAGCCATCGACAAGTTTTAGAAAGATTTTTTCGGTCATCCCTATTTAATTGTTCCATAATAAGATACATGGTCTCTGTGGGAAGCCTGGAAAGTTTATTGTCTTCTAACATCAGTGAATCAGTTGATTTTTAAGTGCATATAATCCAAGCGCAACGAAACCGATTGACATTGGGTTTCGAGGAGTTAGAGGACTTAGCGATATGAAAATATGAAACCTTTTTAAAGTTATATCCCCCTCGTAATGGGTCAAAAAGAGACGGAATAATCAGAAAGATTCAAGTAAGCTATTTACTTCTTGGAAGGCCTTCTTTTTATAATTTTCAATCCAATTTCCACGTGAGTTAGAAGAGTACTAATATATGCTTCATAACTTTTATCCCAAATTTGGAGTAAAAACCTTCAGGCAATTTAGATGAAAGACCATTCGAGGTTTAGTAAATGGTTTGTTTTTGCTATTCAAATATATTTGGTTAGTTCATTACATCATTTAGGAATCACAAGAGTGACATTCATATATGCACATTAATTGAGCTGGTTGCTCTAATCCACAACAATAATTTGATGATTCCAGAAATAAGATTTAAACTCATAATGAAGATAGTGTTTTTATCATAGTTACTCGAGCTTTAAAGCGCCCGCATACACGTCCAGATGACGATGTTTGCGAGATGAAATATTTTAAGTATGGCACCACACAATGGGGGTAATTATTTTTTGGAATAATGTATGTCTTACAACATTCATAATTCCCTGATACAGTTTAATTTAAGGCTTGGAAAAATCACAAAAATTTAATTTTAGCTCAATTTCCAAAATTGAACATCTAATTAATATCCCAAAGATCGGGAATTATTCCACTTATGATATCATTAAGACATCACAATGCAGACGCAGTTTTTAGTAGTTTTATTTATACCTTTTAACTCTATATGAAGTACATAAATTCTCACTGAAATTTAAAAACGCCCCCGATTTCTTTTTTTTTATTATAGAGACAATCATGCGTTACTTTATGTGGTAACTGTACACATCAATGTTTACTTCATTATTAAAATTAATTCCGAGAAATATGTAAATAGGTAAGATTTTCATTCGCTTTTTTTTTTTGCTCTGTTGTTAAATCTCTCACTTTATTAAACTGACTATATTTGTAAAATTATCATTTTACTGTACCATGTTCTCTAACAAGTTTTTTCCGCAATTTTATGTATGAAGCAATATAAATGCTTACCGTTTAACTGTGTAATTTCATCTCCAATCCTGGCCTATAAAATGGTGCAAGGGATATTATTAAGTTCTATATATCAAAAAAATTTGTTTTCTTTATTTTATTAATTCTGTTATTCATACAATGGGGCTATTTTATAGTTTCCCCATAAATGTTCATGAAACATTGCAGGAATATCGTAGAAATTTCTGGGTACCAACTAAATTGTGTAGAAAATTCTGGATATCCGGTCACACTATCACTCGAAATAAACCAATCATACAACTTTCATGTAATAAGATTCACATGAGAGAGAGTGATTATTGTTATGACATTGTATTATTGGTTCATTTCTTGTATTACGGGGGAATGGGATATCCAGCATTTTTTAGTACTTACCGTACTCACTGCGTACTTAAAAACTTATTTGAGACGCAAATGGCGTCGTTTGTGGCACTCGTTAACGCGTTTGGTAATTATTAACGAGATTCATGCTATAATGACGTGTAAAAGATCTACTCGTAGAAAATATTTCAACATTTATTCGAAAAGGTAATGGCGCAGTATTGAATGATATGAAAATTTCAATAATCGAACAGGTAAAAATGTTCGCGTCAATTGGTCTTAAAACGGATTATACTGTTATAAGCTCAAGCAAAGCATTTTGTGTTACGCGAACAGTCATTCTCTGTTTTATGGAATTTTTAAGATATAACACATTTCGCGTCTAAACTAGATTATCATCCGCTTTTTAGTCTATTGCTTAAGAATTTTTGGGTTTCTACGTGTCTAGGTGGTGTAACAATCATGAAAAAATCCGCTTTGTTCATCTACTAACTAAGTTTCGAAAAACTTGCTCAGTTTGGACTATAAATCTTTGAAATAACATAATTTAAGGGTTGGTTATCTATAATATATTTGCTGGTCATTGACCAAAGAGTCAAATTGGTCAAGTTAAATTGGTCAAATATTCTGGCCTATTAATTCAGTAGTTTGGCAATTTACATGGATTAATATATTATATATCTATACATAGGTTTCACAGCAACTCCGAACCGATTCCGAGCATGTCTTCAGTCAATAAGTAAAAGTTATAGATTTATTTTTTTATAAAATTTGCTCAAAATCGGCTCACAACTGCTGCAGAACCTACTAACATCCCTGTCTATAGCTATCTATATATATATTAATTACGTATATGCAATTTGACCAATTTGACTATATTAAACTCTTGAAGCAACATAGTCAAATTGGTTCTAATTGCTGGATCAAGATTGATTCTATTGATTGGTTTATGCAACCTCGATAATACGGCAATTGTAAATTAATTATAACTACAGAACTAAGTTAGGGAGTATGTTACAAAAATGATTAGTATCGGTATTATAAAAACGTGTTATGTTTTTGTTACACTAAGATACAAGTATAGACACGCGATATCGATGTACGTACGTATAAGTCAACTAATAATGCTAATCAAAAACGTAACTATTAAGCATCAAAAACATAACTTTTGCACCAATTTATTGAATAAAACATAATATGGGCTGAATGTTATAAAAAAGAGGGAAATTGACAAAAAAGATCAATTTTTAGGCATATAATACCAATACAACTTAGCTGTTAGTAGGCTAGTGATGTTCAGAACATTGTGTAACCCGAGGTTCTGGAATTCGATCCGACGATACCTCAGATCGAACCTGCGGAGCAATAATACCAGCTAACTAATATTATAATAAAGCAACTTTACTTAGTACATTAGTGGTTTTATTAGTATAATTAGGTCCGAAGCTCGATGCTTTCAGATAGGGGTTTTTCCTAGTCCATTCCCCATTTGTCGGATTATCCAGATAAAGTCAGATATGGATAAATGGATAATAGATATATCCGGATTGGAACTCTATATTTTTAGATTAATAATTTATATAAAAGCAATTTTGAAAATTTTGATAATTTTTTTTCGTAGCACCTACCAATACCACATATTATATACAGTCGGCTCTCTCTAAATGCATGTCCTCTAAATGCAGGTCATAGTAAATTCTCTTTAAATTGCAGATTTAGTTTTGGTCCCAAGCTATATAAGGTTATAATTATCTAATTGTTATAAAATTACAAATCAAAAATTTTATATGTAAAATTGCATGCTTGATAATAAAATTCTAAGATATTTTTATATAAGATTTTACGGTTTGATTGGTTAATTATATAATTAAGTTATTTAACCAGGAGACAAGTTAGCAACACTCAAAAATTTTATATTAATTAATTATTAAAAGCACAAATATATAGATATACTATTAGGTTTAAATTTTTTCACATAATAAAATTTCTTAATTTACAGTATATAAAACATGAATATAATTTGTAGATTAATTAATACAAAGTTTAAAAAAATCAAAATATAGATATATAAATTACTTTTTATTTCAATAAAATTATTTAATTATAATAACTAATACTAAAAATAGATAAAACTAAAAATTTAATTTTTGTTATAAAATTTCAAATTTTTAACTCCAACATCTACATCTACAATATACAATTAAATACTGAATAAACGTTAAAAATTACTGAATAAACGTTAAAAATTACTAAATACTTTAAGCAAAACTAAACATCCTAGATAAATTATATATCATAGAATATGGGTTTAAAAAAATACAGTCAGACCTCTCTAAATGCAATGCGACGGGACCATATATAAAAATTTAGTCAAACGTGCACTTAAGAGGTATTGCATTTAGGGAGGTAAAAATCTATAGATGTAATATTAGTTGGGCCCAAGAGAAGACGTGCATTTAGGGAGGTGCTTCATAGGACGTGCACTTAGGGGGTAGCATTTAGGGGGTTAGCATTTAGGGGGTCTGACTGTAACTTGAAATATTTCACTAAGACAACTATCTTTATAAATGCATTGTATGAAATTTTCTATACAAATGCAAACTTGTTTTAAATCAAGATGCGGTAGATCTATGCATTTATTAACATTCGAATAAAGACTTTGAAAAATCATCATTTTAATGTGAAACATCTCATTATTTATAAATTTAATTTACTCGCTAAATTCCATTTGCCATTTATTATAGTTTACACTTGATTTACTGATTTCTAAGTGTAATTCCCTATATCTTTGTATTTTTTTTCTCATAAGAAATTTTAATTGAAATTCTACACAAATTATGAATTATAATCGTCTAGAAATATTTACAATTTATTATATTAAAACAATCATAAGTTTAAATTGACTAAATATGGTGTAATATTTAAGGCGATATTGTTATATTTTTCTTCTTAACGGCGCTAGGTTTCTTTTGCAATTAATGATAGTGGGTCAGAATAATTTCAATAGTTTGAAAATTATTTAAATTGAATTGTAATTTACCTCAACGCGAGGGAGTACTATTTTAAATTTGTCTTTTATTAGTGCTTCCGCATTGGGTCCAAGCTATGATAAATAATAATTATCAAAATGTTTTAACAAAAATCAACATTAATTTTTTAAATACCTCAATATATGAATACACGGATCCATAATCATTTGGTTGATATCTTTCATTAAGGACATCTTGAAGTAACAACAGCTTTATCAATCTATCTACATCAATAGTCGAAAGCGTGCTTGTTTTAAAATTTGGTGGTAGTATAAGCTGCTTTGTTTTTACTACATTTTCTGTGGATTTGCTGCTTGATCCTTTCAG